GAGCAAGCCAAGGACCGTGTAGCTCCACGTGGAGGCGCTTCGGTTTTTGTTTACATGGTCTTTCTAGAGTCCAGGGGTGGGGAACGTCCGGCCCGCGGGTCGTATAGGGCCCGCGAAATCATTTGGTCTCTGGCCCTGCCAAGGCAACCGCAGGCGGGACTCGAAATTCAATCAATCTCGGAGCAAACCTGGAAAAGCAGTTGCGAGTAGCAACATCGTCAATACCAGCTAACATCATCAATACCAGCTAACATCATCAATACCAGCTAACATCATCAATAGCCAGCTAACATCATCACACGCCTCGCCAAAGAGAATCAGTTCCAGCCACCGCATTAGGGGTGAGTTAATTAAATGTTTGACAAAAATGTAACGGGCTAATTTTTTTAAGTTCATAATTTTGTATTGCCCGTGAATTATGTTATAAATATTCAAATGGCCCTTGGCAGAAAAAAGGTTCCCCACCCCTTGCTCTAGACCAACGAAACATGGCAAAGTGTAGAGGGCCCGAACTGCAGTCAGTTGGCTAGACCAGCGTGCCCATGCAGGATCATACAATTATTTTTTAAAGGCAGCAGTCAGAGCTAGATTGGAGGGGGGGGGGGGGGGGGGGGGGGGGGGGGGGGGGGGGGGAACACTACACGCATACACTTTTGAAGATTGCATCGCGTGAGATGTATAACGTCTAAAAGCTTGACACTGTCGCCACGTTGTTTGGGACACGCATCGCAGCTGTTAAAGATCACTCGAGGCGGGAGATTTTTATATTAAAAAAACAACAACAAAAGCACGCGAGGAACATGTTGCCAACGCTTCGGCCGCGCAGTTCAAACGCCTTCTGATGTTGTAATTCTGTGAATGGGACGATACCTCAATTAATGCCTACCCCCCCACCCCCGCCTCTACGTTTCAAAATGCGCTTGGCGGGGGTCCGTTTGGAATCGCTGCTAACGCGCTCACGATTGTCGGCGTTGCTTTCACACACCCAGTTTAATTAAAGACACCAATCAATCAGGGCCGAGCTCAGGAATGGATTTGTTTGCCAATCAAGCCGAGTCGAATTTGCCCCCCACCCCACCACCGACCCACCCCACCCCCCAACGTGTTGATCCACGTTGTAAATCTGTGTTCTTGCCATGTTTCACGCTCCTCCTCGTCCTCCTGCGGTGTGCTACCATGATCGAATTCCCCTGTCCTCGATGTCTCAGCTCCAGCGCACCGGACCGCTTCGCCGACCTGCTGACCCCAGAGTCACTCTTGCCGCCGGGGCGTCGTGTTTTCTCAACGCACGAGTTCCTGGACTGGCGAAATAAAGTCTACGGCACCCTTAGAACGGGAGGGGGTTGGGTTTTGTTGTTGTTGTTGTTGTTCGTGGGTGGTGCGACGTTGCGCTAACAAGCGGTGGATCTCGGTTGGCACCGCAGCGAAGGTGTCCAAAAGAAGACAAACCGCTACAACACCTGGGCCGCTGAGAGTTACACCTGGACAGAGTTACGCCTAGACTCTGCACCAAGGTGAGCCGCGATGACGACAGGCGCACCCGGGACTTGTGAGGGGGCCGTCTGTTTGATTGTTGCAGGCACTCGGAACATCGGCACAAAGAGCTTCACCACTCTCCAGTCTCCGTCCTTTGTGTCCCAACAGTTCCTGGTGAGCATCGCCCCACTTCACTCAAGCCCCCGGCTTAATTGTAAACGTAATTTACGCGTCCCGACAAATGAGATCTTTCTGCGCACTTTAACACAACAAAAAAATTCTCGCGACACTGTAATGAGAGGTTTCCTTACAGAGAGAAGGTGACGTTGTGTTAAAACCGGTGGATTTCAGCAGCACATTACACGATAGCTTTTTTTCCCCTCTTTGTGATGTCCTTAAACTCGCATTCTTCGCGCAGGGGGTCTTAACATCGGCAACACGGAGTTATCCAGCTCGCCGCCAGTTAAGGGGCCCAGAACATCGATTTCCTGCGCACGGTTGTGCAAATCATTCGGAGAAAATTGACCCTCCGTCGTTATAAAGCACGCTGATGAGCTCGAGGCTTAATTACGCTTATTGTGGCTTAACCCAACCAAATTAGGCTGTGCACACACCGTGCAGAAATGTCATTATGACATCACCGCAGCGCAAGCGGTAATGCCAGTTTGCCGGGATCGATGCAAATTGGGGCGCTGTGCCGATAGCTCACCCCGGCCGCGATTAATCAATGTCACTTCCAATGTCACCATCCATTTGTTGGATCGGCGAGGAGGCACGGGACGGCTCAAGAGGGGCTGCTCCGAATGCACTGAGCCGGCACCGCCGAGATTCCGGGTTTTGTGAACCTTGGGGCTCTCGCCCAACGTCAATATTTGGATTTTTAGAGCGCGGCGATGGCGATGGCCTCGGCCTAATAATCGGCGACGGCGTTCAAAGGAGCGCGATCGCCGCTGAATGCGCCCCGTCGCCTGACTTGCCTCGACCGCTCGGCCTTCGGATGGCTCGCACCGAACGGTGTTCCTCCAGCGCCTGACGCAGCGCTGCCTCCTCGCCGCGGATCGACCCAGGCCACGAAAAACAAAGCGACGTGGATTGTTTTGTTTTGTTTTTAAATTCACCGTAAGGTTGTGTATGCCGGGCCAGAATTACAATGTAGCAAACAGTTCAAACTTTTTTTTTTCCATATAAATCCTCGTGAACACATCATTTCAACTGAAGCTCACACAAACAAACAATATGCATCCTCCATAATACAGTTTCTTTTTGTTTTTGGGTTAGATCCGCCACCACCTGACGCAGCGAATTAGTAAGGGTCTGTCACGTAAACAGAGCATGCCAATTCGTTACTAGTTCAGCACACTGGTGTGTTGGAGAGCAAACCCCTAACGTTTACAACAACAAAAAACCTCCCGTGGATAGTATTGGTCGCGAAAGTCGACGTGTTAAAATGCATCGTATTATTTCACCGCCTCCAACCCGCTCTGCCTAGATTTCCTGCCCGAAAGAGTGTGGCTTAACAGGGTCATATACTAGGCCCTGGGGGGGGGGGGGGGGTATGGCAAGGGAAAGAAAGGCATTGCCCGGGCTTTAGAACAGAACTTTGTAGACACCACAAATTCAGTTTCATGGCCGCGCAGGCTTAGACCACCACGGGGAGAGGAGTGCGGCGTCACTTTCACGACAGTGGGAGGTGGGATGGTGGGGTGGTGGGGGGGAGATATGCCGAGAGAGAGGTTTACAATGGAATAAAATCCAAATCGCGTCGGGTGCTGGTGGCCCTGATTGATAGCCAAAGGGGTTTGCCCGTCACCGCCTTGCTTCAATCCCACAATTGGACACCTGTGGACACAGAAGCCAAGACCCTCCTGTCGAGCGTGCGTACGCACCGTGCTCGCAAAGTATTCTCGGTCCAAGCGCGTTGAAGGAATCGATAATAAATACTCCTCCTGCACGGCCTACTTTACTTTATGCTCGCCGCTGGCTCCTCTCCGTTAAAGATTGCGTGCAGCCAGCCGACAACGCATTGTTCGCTGTGAGCGCGCGTGATGTGTGGACAGCGAACGGAGAATTTGTCCCTGTTTCGTTATCGTCTCTTGCAGTATCCGTACGTGGCATTTGAAACTGATCCCCAAACACAAATCGTAGAGGATAATAATATCCATCGTCCATGTGTTGTGGCTTTTATTTTTGGTTCAAATCGGGGGGGGGGGGGGGGGGGGGGGGGGGGGGTCGGGGGCGGGGGGTAAGGGGGAAGGCGCAAGCAATTTGAACAGTCGTGCTAGGATTTACACCGTGACTTGGAGTAATAGATGGGCGAAGTGAAAATAAGAAAAGTTATCGTGAGAAACTTTTTTAAAAAAAGCATATAAACTCACAACAAAAACACCGGCGGTGACGTCGAGTAGCGGTGTTGAGCCAACCTAAGCTCTACCACCCCCACGCACGCACACTGTGGGCCCCCCACAGGCGACCAAAATGCACAGAGCTCACAAAATGTAGCGTTGTGATTTTTTTTATATTACTACACAGGCCAGCGACTTGTGGAACGTGCACAGAATTTTGTCTTCGAGTCGACGGTTCGCGAGGCACAGACCTCGAATCGTTTCCGCTATTCACCTGCTTCAATCGCACCCCGTAACGCTGTGTGCGCGATGAAAAAGTGGTAGATTCGGAGTCCCAACCACTTTGCACGTGAGCGCGTCACGCCGAACGGGGGGGGGGGGGACTCTTCTCCTCGTCACTATTTGACAAAAGTCGGCGATTATTTTTTTCATCCCATTTTTGTTTAAAATTAACGTGTCGCTTGCAGAACGTCTGTGTGTGTGTGTGGGTACGCTATTGATCTTGCACTGTCAGTGTGGCAGAATAAGAACGGTAAATGGGCCAAACAAAAGTGTTTACCCATGCGTAACAATGGCAGAGGGGGTTTATAGTGTCAACTGTTTCCACTTAAAATGTTTTAGTTGTTTTAAGCCACTGCGAGAGTCTGTTATATATTTGAGCGCGTGTATCACATAACGTACACACTGGCAGAGAACGTGGCATTTGCTTGTATCGCTAAACAAACAAAAAAAACACCCGTGGATTCCTGGCGCCATCAAAGCGTGGCACATTGCTGCCATCACATTAAAAAAAAAACTGTCACATGATCAGTCACAGTTGGCCAATCAGGCTTCAGCAGATTGAGAGTTAACCAATCGAGGCATCAGTGCAAGAAGACAGCCGACCAATCAGATTCCAGTACACAAGAGACACCCCAGGCACTATGCGTCCAAAATGATTTTTGGAACTTCTTGCCAGTAAATGAGCAAATTAAATGAACTCTAATTATTTTACTACATGCGATCCGATACTTGCCACATGATGATAAAACAATGATGATAGTGTTAACCCTTTTACAGTAATCTGTCTTATGATGACAGTAATGTGACACATAATAATATTGGTGCTTTGTTCTCTTGGGAATAACAACAAAATAAAATACCGTTACAAATAACCACATTGTCACTTTCCGCTCTCTTTTAAAAATCAAAAGATTTTGGTCTCTTCAATAAAATCTAAATATGTTTGACTGCTTTATACAAAGCTCAAAGCTAAAATTTCAGCAACAATAAGTGAAAACTGAAAGATTCCACATTTTAGTTCAAGAACACATGATCCTTCAGTGGCGTATAGCTTTTTCGTTTTTCAATACATATTTACAAATGGCTCCGTTTCAGCGTTGTCTTGGTCTTCTTGTAGGCCGTGATTTTTTTTTCAGCAAGTCTTGAAACTTTTTTGTTAAAATTAGATGCGTAAGTTTTTTTTCCTTTCCCCTCCCTATCTTCTTAACTCCTTTCTCCTTTTGCCAACATCCTTCAAATTTCAAAGTTCTGATTTTTCGCCGCTCAGTTTACGCAGGTAATAATATCAGAAGAGCATAGGCTGCGATGGCGATGACGAAGCCTACGCTAGGCCTGTGCATGTGACCATATCCACCAGCGTGGTGAGCAGCCTGTGAAGCTCCAATTCCCGAATCATCTGTTGGGAAATAAACAAAAACATTCACTAAATTAATACAAACGCGCCAAGCAATTGCATGAACGGATCACACACACTTCAAGAAATGTTAGAAATGCACAACTGAAACTTGTTTCAACTACAATTGTGGCATGACACACTGCCCACTTGAACTCAAATCTAGTTTTAACCAATGATATACAAAAAAGGAAACCTCATTACAACATATTAAAAAAGTAAAACTCTTCCCATACGTTCAATATAAAAAAAATACTATCCCCAAAATCTTCATGTGGCGCAAGATGGGGAGAGGGGCAGTGTACCCATTCTTCCTTCTCTCTCAAATACTGTCAGCAAAAAAACAAGATCGTACAATAGCGAATGTCTGCATAGAAATGGACGGGGGTACATAACATACGTTCCGAGTGGAGTGCCTGTGCACGTTGAATAACTTTAGATTTTATGGTTCAATATTTTTGCGGAGTTAAACGTACTCTCCATGGTGTGCATTCAAACGGTGGGGAGGGGAAAAAACCACGTTCGCCAGCTGGGTGCTTAGCCCGCGCCGTGCTATTTTAATTGGAACCAGCCAACGGGCTGATCGCCGCGGGCCATCGTTTCCGAGAGGGCGGCACCACGGAACCTGTCAGTGTTATTCAAGTTCGCCGATAATAAGAGTGAAATGAGCGCGAATGAAGGATTCCCTTACTTGAAGCTGAAAGTGATGAATTAGAAAACTTAAAAAATTAACTAAAAAGTTGAACTGGTTTTGTTGCAAAACACAATTTGTTTAAGATGACGACTCAAATGATTAGTCTCAAGTGCTGTCCGGTTTTTGTATTATACTGCGACGGGAGCAAATCGGAGAATTTATGGAAAATCCGCGTAAACCAGGGGGTTAAGGCTCAAAGCGCCGCACAGATGGATTTAATCCGCCGCACAGCCAGGTTTGTTTTGGAGTTGCGCCAATCTGTGCGATCTGCAAATCCATGCCTGCACAGTTCTGGAGCACAGGCGTGTGATAACCAGCTCTGAAGTCAGCGGTGGAAATATCACATTTTCATGATGGGAACCAGTCTCTCGAAAGGACAACCACTATTTACTTCTAACAAATTGGTACTAATTATATTCACCACGCAGAGATAATGGAAGATGGTGTAACATCGAAATAGTGCCATTTTAGACAATGCTAAACTTCTAAATCTGTTGCGGGTTATGATTTTGATATCAAAAGCTTTCCAAAGAGCTCATTGCAACCGTTATTAAGAAAACACATATCGACCCGCAACATCAAATAAGATTATACGGCCTATCGTGCTTTACAATTTAATTTCCTATTTTCTCTTTACTCAGCGCAAAACTGTCTACTCATTTCCCCGCCACCACTCAAATACAGGAAAATAACAATTGCACTCTTGCGTTGAATATTGACGAAGGCTTTGTTGGTGAAATATTGACTCAAGTATGTTTTTGCATCGCATGACATTCATTTAACGTGCTTTTTTCCAGCTCGTCTCCTTAACTAATACCTTAATTTACAGTGAAGGAAAAAAAGTATTTGATCCCCTGCTGATTTTGTACGTTTGCCCACTGACGAAGAAATGATCAGTCTATAATTTTAATGGTAGGTTTATTTGAACAGTGAGAGACAGAATAACAACATGAAAATCCAGAAAAACGCATGTCAAAAATATTATAAATTGATTTGCATTTTAATGAGGGAAATAAGTATTTGACCCCCTCTCAATCAGAAAGATTTCTGGCTCCCAAGTGTCTTTTATACAGGTAAGGAGCTGACATTAGGAGCACACTCTTAAAGGGAGTGCTCCTAATCGCAGCTTGTTACCTGTATAAAAGACATCTGTCGACAGAAGCCATCAATCAATCAGATTTCAAACTCTCCACCATGGCCACGACCAAAGAGCTCTCCAAGGATGTCAGGGACAAGATTGTAGACCTACACAAGGCTGGAATAGGCTACAAGACCATTGCCAAGCAGCTTGGTGAGAAGGTGACAAAAGTTGGTGCGATTATTCGCAAATGAAGAAACACAAAAGAACTGTCAATCTCCCTCGGCCTGGGGCTCCATGCAAGATCTCATCTCGTGGAGTTGCAATGATCATGAGAACGGTCAGGAATCAGCCCAGAACTACACGAGAGGATTTTGTTAATGATCTCAAGGCAGCTGGGACCATAGTCACCAAGAAAATAATTGGTAACACACTACGCCGTGAAGGACTGAAATCCTGCAGCGCCCACAAGGTCCTCCTGCTCAAGAAAGCACATATAAATGCCCGTCTGAAGTTTGCCAATGAACATCTGAATGATTCAGAGGACAACTGGGTGAAAGTGTTGTGGTCAGATGAGACCAAAATGGAGCTCTTTGGCATCAACTCAACTCGCCGTGTTTGGAGGAGGAGGAATGCTGCCTATGACCCCAAGAACACCATCCCCACCGTCAAACATTGAGGTGGAAACATTATGCTTTGGGGGTGTTTTTCTGCTAAGGGGACAGGACAACTTCACCGCATCAAAGGGACGATGGACGGGGCCATGTACCGTCAAATCTTGGGTGAGAACCTCCTTCCCTCAGCCAGGGCATTGAAAATGGGTCGTGGATGGGTATTCCAGCATGACAATGACCCAAAACACACGGCCAAGGCAACAAAGGAGTGGCTCAAGAAGAAGCACATGAAGGTCCTGAAGTGGCCTAGCCAGTCTCCAGACCTCAATCCCATAGAAAATCTGTGGAGGGAGCTGAAGGTTCGAGTTGTCAAACATCAGCCTCAAAACCTTAATGACTTGGAGAAGATCTGCAAAGAGGAGTGGGACAAAATCCCTCCCGAGATGTGTGCAAACCTGGTGGCCAACTACAAGAAACGTCTGACCTCTGTGATTGCCAACAAGGGTTTTGCCACCAAGCACTAAGTCATGTTTTGCAGAGGGTTCAAATACTTATTTCCCTCATTAAAATCAATTTATAACATTTTTGACATGCGTTTTTCTGGATTTTGTTGTTGTTATTCTGTCTCTCACTGTTCAAATAAACCTACCATTAAAATTATAGACTGATAATTTCATTGTCAGTGGGCAAACGTACAAAATCATCAGGGGATCAAATACTTTTTTCTCTCACTGTAGATTGTGTTATTAATGATGAGGTTAATTTTATTCTTTGCATTTGTTTGGAAGGAATGCCTTCATTCAAATTTCATCCGTCATGTTATACTACACAAATACTGTGTGTGTGTAAAGTAATGCAGCGTGCAAAACATGCAACAAATTTTTCACACGTTTTGTGGATTACAAAGACAAGACTACAGAGTCAAATGTTAGCTTCGAATAAAGAATGTGCCCCTTCAAGAACTTCATATTAATAACAAGGCTTTTTGAATTTCATGCCAAATATTTACCCGGGAAAGATGAACTGCACCTCAAGGCTACTTTTTCACAGGGATGCCTTTTTTTGGCCAATTCCATAAATGAGTCTTTGGCTTCAGGTGGAAGGAAAGCAGAAACAATCGGAGGAAAGGTGTGATACTCAGACTCGTCAACAGTATTAACACTTGAGGAATCCGATGAGCAATGAAGCTCTTTTTCACAGATGCCCAGTAGGGGACAAGGGGTCAAAAAGTTACTGCCACCTTGCCTGTAACACCTGACCCAAACTCGTGGCCATCCATCCAGGCACCAACCAGCCTAAAAAAATCCTGCTTAGCTTCCCTGTGCTCACGGGATCACGTACGTAAAGGGAGATGTGTTGGGGGGCGCGGATGGCCGCAGAACGGACGACGACGACGACACTAAATGCGTTCCAGACGACCTGCAGGCGGTCCCCCCGCCCCCCGCTTTCACGATGCAACGCGTTCCTGGAAAACTCCGTCGTTGTAAATCGGGCCCAATTTTTCCCGTGGACAGTAGAAACGGTAGAAATATCACTTGCCGATGTGTTTCCCCCCCCCCCCCCCACAAAAAAACACTCTAGAATAACAAAAATCTTCACGCCAAGTCACATCGGAAACCAGGCCGACTCCGTTCAAGTGTTCGGAGTCGTGTTCGAATATGCGTCGTGAATCGATCCACGGTGGCATTATGTAAACGGACGTGAATGCGGTTCGTTGCAAACCGGAGGCCGCCTGTACTGTGAGAGCTAAAGCTCTGCCTTCTCTTCTCTCGTGCCTCCTAGCACCCACAATATTGACCCAAACTTATTTGCAAATGCGTACATATTTGACATTGCCATTGGATAATGCTCCCTTTTTAATGTTGGCCTGGGCTCTGCGCTCAGAATGCGATGTATTCATATTTAATGACGTGCATATATATGAAAAGGCAAAGGAAGCGTTTGAAAAATTAATTCTCGTCCTGGTTAATATTTAAGTTAGATTTCCTGAAAACAAATCAGCATTCCCTTACAAACAAGCTACGTGCTTGTTAGCGATACAAATGTGACACGTATTGTGCAGAGGAAAAAAAACACAGATAATATGAATGGTATCCTTTTCTGGAGGCTTCTAATGGCATCGCCAACGCTAAAGCATCATAGTGGTCCCATTTGTATTGTGCAAAGTTGTCTAATTGATGGGAAAGAAGCGTACAGCATTCTATTCAATGCTATCCGAGCTACAGTGTAAAATAAAATCCAATACGTGTATAAATAAGCCTTTACACACAATTAGATAAATGAATCAAAATAGTGTGCGAGCTACGTTTAGACAATATGGATTTTACTTCCTGGTTCGTAATTATTTTGTAAACATCGATTTTGGCGAAGACCAGTGGCTAATATACATGCAAAGAAGCACATTTCTTTAAGAATATATATAAAAGGTTAACGTTCCTCTGCTTGTAAATTCACACCGCTGTTAGTGCGAGACATTTTCAATAATTACGCGAGACCTAGTTAAGTTGGCTAATGCGTGCGAAGATAAATGTGGTATCGAGGTCAACACGGTATTGTGGGAATACCCATAATGCCTTGCAAGTTTCTGCATGATCACATGCACAGGCGGAGCAGCCAGACCAAGTTGAGGGGAAAATTTAATAAGGCAGTGTTTAGTTATGAAAAACGGCGCGTGACAATCTTAACACGCCTTAAGCCATCGGTTAAAAAACGCCTCCTCAATAATTATCCCGTTCCACATTCCCCTTTTTATTAGATGGGGGAATTTAGCACCACAATGACATTTACGCAAACCAGTTTGCAGCGATTTCCAGCTCATTAACAGCGCATGTCCGGTTTATAACGCAATTACCTTCCACAGACGCGCTCTTCTCTTTACGTGTGAAACAGAAATTAAAGAGTAAAAAACACAACACAGGCACAGCAAGGCAAAGTAAAAAGGGGCAAAGCAGAGATTAAAATAGAATCAACTTAAAAGCATTTTGGCGCAAACACATTTTAAAAATAAGGTTGCTCTAAGCCGGGTTTTGTTGTTGTTGTTTTTTTTATACCGTATTCGTGGTGAACGGGAGGGTAGTCGTGAGATTAGCGTCGGGGTGGTATTAGCAGTGGGGTCATGCGCTAACCTGCTTGTTCTTCCGACGAGTCCGATTTGCTGTTTACACTCACGGACGAGCCCTGACCAGCCGTCATCTTAGTGGTGGTGCCTGCACGGACATCAGAGGGTTAAAAGTAAAATTAAGTAAGGTGACGAGTACTCGAAGTAGTTATCGCAACTGTAGTGGTCGTGAGTAGTAGTAGTAGTGGCGGCGGCGGCGGTGGCGGTGGTGGTGGTGGTAATGATCGACAGCAAAGTCGTCGAACGTTTAAATTGTCCAGATTCGGCGTCTCAAGGAGGTGGCCGAGGCTTCGCCGACCGGGTGATTTGCCGCGTCGCCGTTCGGGACCGTGATGCCGACGCGCCTTCATAAATGGAGACGCCCGACGACATCGAATTTTCTTCAAGACAAGAAACTAAAAACTTTTAGTTTTTTTTTTAATATATACCAGGTGAGGCCCACCTGAGCTATTTGGCTCCTTGTTTTTCAGAAGCCACCTGGCCACAAATGATAGGTCATAGAAAGTGGCTCATCATGTGGAAATTTTCAGTAGCAGCCAAATATTCAAAACGCGTAATGTTGATTCTAAATGTGGGGGGGGGGGGGGGGGGGAACCAGATAAAAATTCTCGCGACCACGGGGGGAGAGAGAGAGAGCCACGCAAACTCCAAATATACAGGCACCAGGGTCGGGATTGAACCCACGAGCCCACAACCTCCTACATACTCGGCGAGGTAGTTAACAAGTTAACATCTCGCCCCGTGGCCCGGGGTGTCTCCCCCCCCCCTGATTGGACGAGCACGCACGGGGCGATGCCTGCCTTCCACAGGTAGGGGGCCGTGAAATTTCCACATTCCTAGGGCAAGGGCGAGCATGTCAAAATCGACGGGCGTAAAGCAACACGAGGGGCTGGGGGGTGAGAGGTGGGGGGGGGGGTTCAGTCGACACCTGGCCAGGGTTCTAAATAACAGATGTGTCCAGGTGTGCAGCCGAGTGCTCGAAGCACAGCGCCACCCGGTCGCATACAGCCCACGCCGTGCGCCACAATGTGTCCACGACTGATGCGTCTCTCTCTGTCCATGGCCGGTCGGCTGACATGAAGTTACGTGAGGCTCCGCCCATCGTTAACGCATTGCCAACGACAATGCCGGGGAGTTTAAAAGCATTGCAGCGGGCTGCACGAACAATTCCAGGCGTGGCTGTGATATTTTACGAAGGTACTGGACGCACTCTTGTTGTCGATGTCGTTAGAAGTCTAATTTGTGTTTTTGGTAACGATGCCAGTTTGGTTCGGCAGTTGCGAACGAAAGGCAGAGGCTGCTGTCGAGTAACGCTGACACAAAATAAACACATGAATAAAATAATGATGATGATGACAACAACAATGATAATAATAATGATACAGCAATAAGAATAAAAAGTCACAACATGCTCACAAAGCTGATATATTTTGGAAATTCGAGTAAATACTGAATAGATTGTATTACTAATTGCGAGTTGGCAGTACACGGTATTACGTATTATGTTTTTTTTTTAAACAAAAATCTCAAACATGGAATACTCATGTTGACAGTGCATACATATGTGCGGCAAACTCTATACACTTTTTTTTTGTTCTATCGCTGTTGATCGAACTTTCGTGCGGACTTGAAAAAATGCTCCACCAGCCGCTGTCTTCAATGTTATAATGACACGGGGCATTGTCGCGCGCGGACGGAATTTACGAATTCGTGCAAAGCGTGGCGGCGACTCAATACATTTACACCACGTGGGCAAAGCGAGCGCGGTTTGTGGATATCGCACGTAACGATCTAACGGACGGCACCCCGCGGCCGAGAGAAACCCAACGCGTTCGTCAGTACCACTGCCCTCGGAGGAAAACGTGTTAAGTGAGGGCGACGTTTCGGGCCATGGACCTTCTTCTTCTTCTTCGAGATCTCTCGGCCATGGAGAAAAGCCATTTGCCAATGATACACTTTTTTTTGCTTTGCAGAGTGCAGTGCTAATGACGAACGTGCCGTGCGTCTTGTTGCTGGCGCTCGTTGCACCACTGCCAACGACTCAACGGCAATGCTTCCGCCGCATATGCGCGCGCGCGCCTGGTTATGCGCGCCTGGTTATACGGGCCGCACGTGTTGACAATGTATTTTCGTAAGTGCAGTAGCACAACGGTGCGCACAATGCCCGGTATATAATGCATACCTGTCCGTGATCAACAGACCGGCATATTTTCTCCAAATCACTCGTAATTTTTTTTAAAAAAATGTGCTCATCCCAAAGGCTACGTGCGTGCATGTCCTTGGAGGGGGGGGGGGGTGGTGGTGCAGTGTTAAGATGAGAAAACACAAACAGCTACCCACCCAGCCTCTAGAGCTACCACTTAGGGAGTGACTGACTCATGCACAGAAGTTTGTTTTGAAGGTGTGAGGGGAGAGACCAACTAGCAAGGCAGAGGGGCCACTTGTCCTCCTCCTCTCGACACGAATGGAAACCACTCAAGATTATAATCTCCAGCGATGAGGCGGAGTTGGGTGGAGTGGGGCGTATTCCAAAATACAGCAAAGGCCAGTAACGATAAATAAATGCGGGTTCCAAAAAAATATAAAGTCTAATTGTCTCCACCTTCGATTATGGTCAGGGGATGAATTGCCTTCTCCTCTGTGGCCTTGAACCAATAGTGTACATTCTACATTCCCATGACGGGAGCAAGTCGACCCCATAGTATAACCACAGGCGACTCCCCCACAAAGTGGTACAAATTTTATCGACCACGAACTGCGAGCCTTGCCCTCTCACCTACGGGCCACAACTACTGCATGAAAACCAAACAGTTCATGCCGATTATTGCGTAGGAAAGCCTCATTGAGTCTCGAGACGTGATTTTAGGAGAGTGCCTCGTTAAAATGTGTAACCACTTCCCTACATTAAAAAGTCAAAGTGATTTCCTGCCTCAAATGAGCATTGAGGCATTGGTGCTTACAGTGAGGGAAAAAAGTATTTGATCCCCTGCTGATTTTGTACGTTTGCCCACTGACAAAGAAATGATCAGTCTATACTTTTAATGACAGGTTTATTTGAACAGTGAGACACAGAATAACAACAAAAAACATCCAGAAAAACGCATGTCAAATATGTTACAAATTGATTTGCATTTTAATGAAGGAAATAAGTGTTTGACCCCTCTGCAAAACATTACTTAGTACTTGGTGGCAACACTCTTGTTGGCAATCACAGAGGTCAGACGTTTCTTGTAGTTGGCCACCAGGTTTGCACACATCTCAGGAGGGATTTTGTCACACTCCTCTTTGTAGATCTTCTCCAAGTCATTAAGGCTTCGAGGCTGACGTTTGGCAACTCGAACCTTCAGCTCCCTCCACAGATTTTCTATGGGATTAAGGTCTGGAGACTGGCTAGGCCACTCCAGGACCTTAATGGGCTTCTTCTTGAGCCACTCCTTTGTTGCCTTGGCCGTGTGTTTTGGGTCATTGTCATGCTGGAATACTCATGCACGACCAATTTTCAATGCCCTGACTGAGGGAAGGAGGTTCTCACCCAATATTTGACGGTACATGGCCCTGTTCATCGTCCCTTTGATGCGGTGAAGTTGTCCTGTCCCCTTAAAAGAAAAACACCCCCAAAGCATAATGTTTCCACCTCCATGTTTGACGGTGGGGATGGTGTTCTTGGGGTCATAGGCAGCATTCCTCCTCCTCCAAACACGGCGAGTTGAGTTTATACCAAAGAGCTCCATTTTGGTCTCATCTGACCACAGCACTTTCACCCAGTTGTCCTCTGAATCATTCAGATGTTCATGGCAAACTTAAGACGGGCATGTATATGTACTTTCTTGAGCAGGGGGACCTTGCGGGCGCTGCAGGATTTCAGTCCTTCACGGCGTAGTGTGTTACCAATTGTTTTCTTTGTGACTATGGTCCCAGCTGCCTTGGGATCATTGAAAAGATCCTCCCGTGTAGTTCTGGGCTGATTCCTCACCGTTCTCATGATCATTGCAACTCCACGAGGTGATATCTTGCATGGAGCCCCAGGCCGAGGGAGATTGACAGTTATTTTGTGTTTCTTCCATTTGCGAATAACCGCACTAACTGTTGTCACCTTCTCACCAAGCTGCTTGGCAATGGTCTTGTAGTCCAATCCAGCCTTGTGTAGGTCTACAATCTTGTCCCTAACATCCTTGGAGAGCTCTTTGGTCTTGGCCATGGTGGAAAGTTTGGAATCTGATTGATTGATTGCTTCTGTGGACAGGTGTCTTTTATACAGGTAACAAGCTGAGATTAGGAGCACTGCCTTTAAGAGTGTGCTCCTAATCTCAGCTCGTTACCTGTATAAAAGACACCTGAGAGCCAGAAATCTTTCTGATTGAGAGGGGGTCAAATACTTATTTCCCTCATTAAAATGCAAATCAATTTATAACATTTTTGACATGCGTTTTTCTGGATTTTCTTGTTGTTATTCTGTCTCTCACTGTTCAAATAAACCTACCATTAAAATTATAGACTGATCATTTCTTCGTCAGTGGGCAAACGTACAAAATCAGCAGGGGATCAAATACTTTTTTCCCTCGCTGTATCTCGGGTTAACAGTCCTGCAGAGCCAGTGGTAGAAACTCCACATCGCTATGGCAGGAGCAAGTCTATTCTACAGGACAACCACTGTTGACTTTCCTACAAGATGGTACCCACTGTATCGACCCCTGGGGCACAATGATGAGCTGAGTCAACCGCCCCTCAACCAGGGTGTGAAATAGCAAACCTTCAGATTTGCGAGCCACTCGCTCGATCAAACGTGAGCCACGGGGCTGGATAATTTCTGAACAAATTCGATCTGATGACCACGCTTATAAGTAGCAATTGGGGTTCCTTGTGCCATAGCCAGGTAGACTTGTAGGACTTCTTCAAGAGGAATAAACAACACACTGCATAATGGAGACAATTTGACGATCCAATGCTCTCCCAATGGATCATCATTTGGTTATTTTCTACAAAGGCAACAGCTTCAAACGCGCACACGCGGTGACTTGCAGAAAGGCACAAGAAATTTTACCAAAAAAAACATTATAAATATGGCAATGAATACACTTATTTCGTCCTTCCTGTCACCAA